ATTTTAATTTGCTCTTTGCCTCAAATGTAACGCTAATTGTGATTTTAAATTTTTCTTTTTTTGCCTAACATTTAACTCTTTGTAAAACTTATTATTTTTAAATGAATTCACTAATCACAGCAAATTACATATGTAACCTGACTGATGTTTTAATGTAATTTTGTATATATCGAAATTGGAAGTAAATAAATTTGCAAACATATTAATCATAAATTAGTAAATATCTGTTTAAATCTGAACGTTGTAGTATTTTTTTGTTTCTTTTTATCTGATTTTGTTTTAAGCCAACTCCATGAAAATGCATTTTGGTTTTGTAAATTTAGTGCACTGAAAACTAATACTAGACACGATGAAAAAACATTTAACCCTCATCTAATGCATAAGCCATAATCCTATAGGAATTTGGAAGAGTGGAAATCAATTTCTAAACAAGTCGATCAGATGCGTTATTAAAACTAAGTTGGTTACATGGAGTTTATTGGAAAGCCAACATCAGAGACGAGGCGGGGGAGGGGTGGGGGCGTAAAAAAGCGATTGATTATACATTTCGACATTAACTGAATGTATTATTTTCCGTCCTCTTAAACCCTTTTGTCTAATATAACTACTTGAGGAACATATATAATTATATATCGAAGGCTGAGTGAAAGATCGACCTATCTCGGCAGCCAGTTCGAAAGCGCCCTATCTCAGAAAACTTTTCAAGAACGCCCTATTTCAGAATTTTATTGAAAAACATCCTATCTCAGAATTTGGTTGAAGAACGCCCTATCTCTATCTATCTAAAATTCTGCAATAAGGCGCGATAGGGCGTTTTCTGCCGAGATAAATCGATCTTCCACTCAAAAATCTATACATAAAAAAACAAGTTATCGTATAGAGAAAATTATACTCGTTTCCTTCATTAAATAAAATCAGTTTTTTGAGACTACCACAAAAGATTTGCTTATTTACGATTACAAGCATATTACACTGTGACAAAAAAAGGAATATTTGTTTTGCGGTCCTATATGAAAATTTCATTGTAGGTAAAAACAAATGTGTCAAAGCTTCAGCCAATTAGTATTATAATTTTTCAGTTCTTTGTTCTAGCTAAGCTACGGCTTACCGTTGATTTTTGGCAATTTTTTTTGTTGAACCTGTTGCCTATTTTCTTCCATATAAAACGTACGTCAAACAAATTTCGTATGGAAGAAAATGACTGACACCGTCAACCAAAAATACCTATCAAAAATCCAAATTATTTCTTGCAATTTATTATAGTAAAAGTGATTGGGCAACAAAGGATTGTTATACTTTTTTTGTTTTAGAAAAAAAGTAGCGGAACAAATTTTTTCATTGACGATTCAGAACGAATATATGGCTGAAATTTTGCCACAATTTCCCATATTTGTATGCAATCTGCATCAAACGGACTAAAAAAGCATACAATTATTTAATAATTTTAGAAACAAAGTTTGCATTGAGAGCCGTTTAGTAAAATAGCGATATTTGCAAGAAAAATGTATTAAAATATATATTTTTTAATACACGAATACATACATACAAATTTTTTATTTTTTTTTGCAGAAAAAGAGAACAATATTTAAATGTGAAATAACCGATTTTTTATACATTATTTAGATAGGCATTCGTTAAAAAATTAAGAATCATTTCATTCTTTTTAAATGCCTAAATATAAGAAAAATTTGCTGCTTATTTTTCCTTAAATTTATATATATAAGTACATAATAAATTATTATAGATTTTCCATTGCCTTTTGACTAGGCATTTGTTTATTATCTAAAATTCATTTATGAAAGAGATAGTATGATATCTTGAGAATCACAATAATTCAAACGACGTTCTTTAAAAAAATCGCGGAACAGTTTTATATAAACTTCTATAAACATATTTATTTGTTAGCTTAGTATTTATAAAGCTCGCGAGAATTAAAAAAATTGATATAAAACTACGTTTAAGAAACAGAAAATTTTTTAGATCAGTTTACACCTCCCCAAGGAAAAATAGCGCTTATATTTATTTCTTTAAGAAAATCAAAGTTGTTTTTTTTTAACTTTGTGCCAAACTACGTTTAAGGTCGTTGTGAAAAAATTTAAGTTAAATCAGTTCAGCTTTATTGAAATTTCATATCTACTGCGTGAAAAGTTATTCCTACAAGGGCTTTGTACTGCGCTGATCGATACTGTCTCAGAAATATCTAGGTAATTTTTATTCACTACTACTTAAATACTATTACAGTGGAATATCCATTATTCGTAATCAAAGGGAAAATAGTTGTTTCATTCATAGCGAACTAATACTGCGATTTATAAAGCATCTCAGGAAAAACAATCCCTCAGAAGAAGCCAAGCATCCTATAGAGCAATGAAATATTTGCCAAGCGTTGCTATGAACAGTGCAGATTGTGCCATGCGGGTCATGAGGAACAGGCTACAGGAACATGGAACAGGCTTCACTGCCTAGAATCACCTCACCTAAAACCAAATGAAATAAAGATCTGTTAAAATTAATTGTCTTTGGCTGCGGTAACTGGTTAAATTGTGCGCTTAGGCGCGTAAATATTTTTATCGGTGAAGGAACTTTTGGTGTTATGAATTATTATTTCCTGTTTCTTTGTCTTTTTTTCGAATTAGCCGCGTTGCTTTAATGGTCTGAAAGATACTTTGCTTTTTGTAATCGGTACTTTTCTGAGACTTACAAAGAGAAATCGTTATGCATACATAGTGGGAGTGGAAAAGGTTCATACTTTGGATATACCTACTATAGATTTTTGGTACAGTTAGGCTCTTTATACGAAAAAGTATTTAAAAAAAACTCCGAATTCCGGCGCACATAATTTAAGATACAGAAATTTCACAAAAATAAAATAAGAAATGGCGGGGAGCATACAAGATTTTGCTTTACTTTTTTTACGGACTCAAGAGTGTGTATGTATAAAAGAAATTGTCGAGCATACTTTATATGGAAGAAAATACGAAACACCGCCAGCAAAAAAAAAACTATTAAAACTCAATGAGATTTACTAGCGTCTTGAACTTTGCACTTTAAACTTCTCAATAAAAACTTTAAAATTTTTGGGTGTAACTGCCAAAGTTTGTTCAATTTTTATAATTTTTGTACGAAGTTTGAATGGTGAATTTATGTAGGCTTTTATAAAAAAATTATAAATATTCAATAAATAATAGAAAAATAACCAAAACTGGTCAAAATGTATCCAAACTTAATTAGCTGACCACAAGAGTACTTAGTTAGGTTACTCTGGTTTCAATGGCCTCATTTGTAATTGAAATTCGCCAATTTTTTTTTTTATATTTAAAAACTCGTTCAAGAAAAAATAAGGAATGCTAATTGTTTTACGCCCACATGCCTGAAGCTCTTGACGCAATGTTTTATACAAAAATACTAATAAAATAAGAAACACAAAAAAGAAAAAAATATTGTAAAAATAATTTGCGCTTGAATACTGCTGCTGTATTGCCAATCCTGCTCCGCTGCTGCTGCTTTCACAATTGCGTCGGCTGCTGCTACTAGACACATGTGTACATACATACATAAATACTACCCATCTTGGCCGCCACCTGCCAACGGAAATGATGAATAATTTTAATTTTGTACATAGTATAAATATTCGTATTAAGGCGTTCATAATTTTTTTTTATATAAGCAAATGAAAAATTAAATTTTACTGAAGCTTGAAATATCTGCCGCGAGCATTTTCTTAGTAATTTTATAC